TATGTGTGTGTATGTATGTGTGTGTATGTATGTGTGTGTCTGTATGTGTGTGTGTATGTATGTGTGTATGTGTGTGTATATATGTATGTATGTGTGTATGTGTGTGTATGTATCTGTGTGTGTGTGTAAGTGTGTGTGTATGTATGTGTGTGTATGTATATGTGTGTGTGTGTGTCTTTTGGTTTTTGTTTGAGGAATGGCCCTCATGCAACTGTGTGTGTGTATGTATGTGTGTGTATGTATGTATGTGTATGTATGTGTGTATGTATGTGTATGTATGTGTATGTATGTGTGTGTATGTATGTGTGTGTATGTATGTGTGTGTATGTATGTGTGTGTGTATGTATGTGTGTATGTGTGTGTATATATGTATGTATGTGTGTATGTGTGTGTATGTATCTGTGTGTGTGTGTACGTGTGTGTGTATGTATGTGTGTGTATGTATATGTGTGTGTGTGTGTCTTTTGGTTTTTGTTTGAGGAATGGCCCTCATGCAACTAAACTCAAACTCAGTATGTAGCTTAGGGTGACCTTGAAATCCTAATCCTCCTGCCTCTACCTCCCCAGTGTTGGTTCCACAGAACACCTGGATTACAGGTATATGTCACTCAGCTTTTTTGTACTATACTGATCCATGCTGTGTAGCCCTGGCTAGCCTGGGATTTGTAGCAATCTTCCTGCCTCTGCCTCCCGAGTGCTGAGATCACTGGCATGAGCTATATATCTTAATGTAGGTGCTGCTATGTATCGACCAGGAGAGCTGGCCTGAGAACTTTCATGAAGTTCAGCCATCTTGCCATAGGAGTGCTGGGGTTGCAGATTTGTACCACCTCATCCAGCTTTCTTACATGGATTCTAGGACCCGAACTCAGATCCTCAGATGCTCAGACTGTGTGGTAAGCAACCCGAGTCACCTTGCAAGCTCTTATAAGTAATTTTTATTAAATAATAATAAAAAATTAAGACTGTCACAGTAGAAAGGAATGCCTGAAAGAACACCTATAGCAAATTAATGTCACTCGTTCTTACTTGAGTAAGAAACTACAGGACTTTTGACAAATCTTTTTATTTTTTTAATTTTAAAAAGTGTACATTTTTAGATTTATCACCAAAAATTAAAAAAAAAAAAACCCTTTTTGGTTATTCAGGACAGGGTTTCTCTGTGTAGCTCTGGCTGTCCTAAAACTCACTCTGTAGACCAGGCTGGCCTAGAACTCAGAGATCCGCCTGCCTCTGCCTCTCTCAGCTGGGACCAAAGGCGTGCTTCACTTGTCCAGGCTGCTCTGCTTGTTTTCCTTGAGATAAGTTTTCTCTATGTAAACCAGGCTGACCTCAAACTCACAGAAGGCCACCATGCCCAGCCCAGGATCTTTAAAATGTTTAACTTTAGGTTAAAAAGTGCACAAATTGGGCTGGAGAGATGGCTCAGCAGTTAAGGACACTGGCTTTTCTTTCAGAGCATGCAGACTGGGTTCCAGCACGCACGTGGCAGTTCAGTGCTGTCTGTAACTCCAGTTTCAGGGAATTTAACACCCTTTCTAGCCTCCAAAGGCACCAGGCACATATGTGGCATGCAAACATACCTGCAGGCAAAACACCCATATACATTAAAAAAAAAAAAAATTACATGAATTGTTTTTGCATGGTGATGCTGGCCTGTAATCCTGGAAACTGGAGACTGAAGCAGGAAGATTGATCTGTTCCAGGGCAGCTTGGTCTACACAGCTACAGAGTAAGTTTCAAGCCAACTAGGGATACATAGAATCAAAAATGGACCAGACCAACCGCACCCCCAACCTCAAAAGCATAGATTAACATGAGAAAATTGAAACACTTTTCTGAAACTAGAACAAAGGCACCAAACTCTATGTGTCAACACCAGGAAGAAGAGCAGCATAGCAGTCTCAGTTCATATACCTTAAATTCACAAGCCCATATATGCACACAGAATCAGTCTTGTGCACAGCCACAATGTGCACAATGTCCACAATGTGCAAATATCGCTTCCTCAGGTGTTTCAGAACATTGGCTTGTAAGAATCCAAAGAATGCTTTCTCCACTTAACACTTTTAATTTATTGTGTGCATGTAGAGGTCGGAGGACAACTTGTGGGAGTCTCCTACCTAATGTAGGTCCTGAGATAGGACTCAGGCTTGAAGGCATGACCTTTGCCATCTGAATCATCCTGACAGACCCCCCCCCAAGGCTTTTTTTAATTACTTATTTTATTATTATTATTATCATTAGTGTATATCTGTGTGTGTCTATGAGTGAGTACACATGCCACACTCTGTGTGTGCAGATGGCAGGACCAATTTTAGGAAGGGAGTGATTCTCTCCTTCAACCATGGGACCTGGAGCTTGAAATGCCAATTGCTTTCACACACAGGGCCATCCCACCATCCCCCAAGGTCTTCTTGGCAAATACAATTAGTGACTATGCAGCTGTTCCCCCGCTCCTATCCTATCCCCTGCCAGTATTTCCTGAACTGTTTCCCAGACCTTATAAATTATCAGGAAGAGATATGAGATTCAATTGAAATCTTTAGTCCTATCTCTTGGTCTCAGAGTTCTCCTACTCTTATAATCTAAACATCTAGCTCTTGGCTTAGTCACCAAGTGCATGTGCAAGGCCACAAGTTCCATCCCCAGCATCAGAACCAACAAAAAAAACAAAGAGAAGAAAATAAGGAATCTAAATCTTAGACATCTCCCATACTCCAAAGGGAAAGGAGAGCTGAGAAAGACATTTTAGATATATTCAAATAGGTAAAAACCTGAAAGAGAAGATTCATTTCCTTTTATTCTAATGGGTATCCTGAGAAATTTGGAGGGGAGAAAAGAATCAGAAAAGAAACTGTGTAGTATGAGCCCTGGGGAGGCTGAGGCAGGAGAATTACATGTTTGAGAGCCAGTTGGGCTATATTATAAAACCAGATAAGAAAGGAAGAAAGAAAGAAAGGAAGGAAGGAAGGAAGGAAGGAAGGAAGGAAGGAAGGAAGAGAAAGAGAGAGAAAAGAAAGAATAAGATGCAGTGGCTCATTCATGCCTGTGATTCTGTGACTAGCCTGGGCTACAGAGACTTGCTCTAGGCCAACTTGGAGCAAAGAGGGAGACCATGTCTCAAAACCCAAAAACTAACAAAAAAAGAGAATGAAACTTTTATACAGTACTATATAGAGTTGAGGACAATAAAGATAATACACATACATATTCATTGATTTTTTTTTTTTTTTTTTTTTTTTT